CCAAACATTGGATTAGGAATATACATGTTCCAAGTCAGGAGCCTCTGGCCTTTGTTAGTCTTGTATGTTTTTTTAAATTTTAGTTCATTTATATGTTTCGGAGTTCAGTGTGACGTCCATTTTCACTGAACTAGTACACATTTTTGTTTAAGGGGCCAGCTGAAGCCCGCCTCCGGGTGCGGGATTTTCTCGCTGTGTTGAAGACCCATTGGTGGCCTTGTGCTGTTTTCTGCACTTTGGTCGGGTTGTTGTCTCTTTGGCACATTCTCTATTTCCATTCTCAGTTTTATTGTACAGTTACAGTTCTTGTAGGAATTTGTTTGTACTAATATATACGATTTTATGGTACCAGATACGAGTAAGTGTATCCACCTTTCAGAACTTCGAGCATACGGTATTTGCGTTCTTTTGTGTATATAAAAATAAGGAGATGTAGTATGAATGCCAATGAGACAACTTTCCACCTGAGATCAACAATGTGAGCAAACCCAAAACCGCAAAGCAAGCTATTAAAGGACCCGACATGACAAATGTAAATCAATTCAATCAAGAAAAATAACGGTCTGATTGATGTAAAAAAAAAAACCAATAAACAAAAAACAAATATGATATACCGCAACAAATGACAACAACTGTATTACAGGCCCTGACTTAGGACAGGCACATACAGAGGCTTTACCATGTTTGCGGTCGCCCAATAATCCATTGATCTGGGACAGTGGTGTAACTGCACAAAATAAGAACAAACTATAATTATCAGATGAACCCGCGGTTACTGAAAGCTAGTTTAAGGCAAATAACAACTACTTAAAAAAATCATGTATCTTAGACTAAAATATCAATCAGTGCTCATCCAATGGATCTAGTGTAAAGATGTCATAAATAGCATGAGAAAAACATGATCTTGTGCAATGCCAAAATATAGGTATCGACAGAATGTAAAATTGTAACTGTTCATAGCTATAATATCTAGTTATGTTTTAATTAATTGATAACTAAATCAATGTTTGTACCTTTAAAAACGATATTTAGAGATCTTATTACAGTGTTTAATTGATAACCTTTTAGAAAAAGTCTGTTTAAAGGATCGATAAGTTTTGACGAGTCGTATCTAAATTTACCGGCATTATAAACAACATCGCCTTAAAAATCCCGTTTGCAACAAGTTTTCTATAGGTTTTGCCAAACTTCCAAACCAAATCTTTGTATCTATAAAAGAATTTAGTAAAGGTTTTAAGTAATTTGTGGAAACGAAATCCTTGACTTAATAATTTACCAGTAATACATAGCTTACGTTCATTGAAATCCTAAACATCGCTACAGACACGGTCATAGCGAACCAGTTGGGATATGATAATAAAATATGGCTGGCCACAATATTTCCAGGCTTATGGAGGTACCTAGGTTGACATGGGGTTATTGCATATTTACCAACTACAAACTGAAATAAAACATCCTGTCAAGTTATTTTGACAGATTTGATAGAATCAAGGACTTACGGGTCATTTTGTACTTTGACATTTATGGAATTAAATGGCCGACGTCAAGATTTTTTGTAATGTATTTATTCATAAAACATTTCATTTGCTTCTTATAAATTTCCAACAGATTTCTTTTACAATATTTCAAATGAGTATAATAGTTGTGGCCTACAAATGCATTACACGTTGTTACCATCAACTTAGCAGTATTTACTAGGTAATGTTGATGTCTTTGTCCTTTTTCGTTAATTGTAATGTACTAGTTAAAAGATGAGTATTGTCTTTGTGTTGTTGGCTTGCTGTCTCATTGGTATGTACCTCCCGTTTCACCATATTCATATTCCTATTAAATTTGAAAAAAGCTTGAAGCGCAAGGTCTAACTGGCCCTTTTGCAAACGGACTTTAAAACACTGTAAAAAGGTCAAAATGACATTTCCAAACGAATATTGGAATAAAATGCAAAAGAAAAAAAATAGAATTTCGCAATGATAATTTTTGTTTTCTTTAATTTTTGATTTTGACAGTTATTTCCATTGCCATTTTTCTCATTGTTATCATTATGAAAACCCCAGATATCATGGTATTTTTATATTTGGACCCCAAAGCATCTTACATATTCAATTTAACAAATCTTCAGATGTTTTTAATTTATAAGTAGCTGAATCTATTAGAGTTATGCGTTCCTTCAATCGCCATGTTAGCTTTTTTTTTCGTTCAACTATACCTAGATATATGTTTGATTGAAGCATCCCCAGTATAGTATGCAAAGCATAATAGAAGTTTAAAAGTAAATGTTATTAATGTGATTTTGTCTTTATATTGGAAGGACATTAAAAATGCTTTGAACAGAGAAAACATTGTTAAAAGTTTTCCTCTAGATACTATCTTTTGATTGTAAGAAACTTCTGTTCAAGTTTGGTAAGAATCCAGGATGGTTTATAAATCTAATAAATGTTTTAAAAACTTTAACTGCAGACTGTATGTAATGTGAACCGGAAGAAAAACTAAGTCCATTTTTAAGTAAAATACGGATAAACAGGATTTTCTTTTTAACAAAATTTACTTTTGAATACTATCTTATGATCATAAACAAGCTTTTGTCCAAGTATGGTACAAATCCAGGATAGTTTAAGAAAGTTATTAAAATTTTAAAAACTTTAACCACAGAGTGAATGTCATGTTAACTGGCAGAAAAACTAAGTCCATTTATGAGTAAAATACAGATAAACAGGATTTTTTTTTTTACAAAATCTACTTCTGGATACTATCTTATGATTATAAACAAGCTTCTGTCCAAGTTTGGTAGAAATCCAGGATAGTTTAAGAAAGTTCTTAAAATTTTAAAAACTTTAGCCACAGAGTGAATATTTGTGGACGCCGCCGACGACGACGGAATGTAGGATCGACAAAAGTCGCAGGCTCGACAAACAACCGTTTCTTTCGTCGTAATTTTTTGTGTAAAGTTTCTCGTTTCTTGTTGCTGTTTATAGTCCCTTCTGGTAAAGTTCATCAATATAGTAAATAATTCTTAATTAATAAACGAAAAAATATCATAAAGGTAACGGTTAGCGTTGAATTTATTAATTGAATATAATCTAGTCGGGTCTTTAATGAGTTTGGCTATAAACTGTGCTCCATAACAGTAGAGGAACAAGTCTGCTATTAAAGTAGCACATTTGGTTTCCATAGGAATACCTACAACCTGCTGATAAGCCTTCCATAGACATTAAACCCCAAAAGATTCTTGAGTAGATAAGGGCGAAAACAAAAGAAGATACCAAGGTGGCATCCAAAAAATCATAATAAGTCGAAGATGTACGGAAAGATTGGTCCAATATATTAAAACAACAAAACACACACAAAGTTATGCACAGCAAACTTAAAGTTTACTGAAAAGAATCCCCTGTTACGGCTGGGAAGAATTTAGATGGTCAGGAGTAGTAAGAAGCCCCAACTACAAGTCACTTTACAATCTTTGTTTTGACAGTCCATATTATACATGATAATTGTTTGTCTGCTTTGCGTTCCTTTGGAACTTTATAACTAAATAGAAAAGAGTGGAAAATCAAAATAATGTCAGTACCCTTATTTAAAAAAACATAATATTGTTGGATCTATCTGATGCTCCACTACACCCCTTTCCAGATTACTATGGACTTCGGTAGCCAAGTGGTCTAATTAGTTCATCTACAGTAGCACAGCCTGTTGCAAGTTCGATCCCCGCACGTGGCAGGTGTGTTCGACTCCACTCTTAATTGATTAGGGTTGCCAGTTTTCCTTCCGAATGTCGGTTGTTCTTACCGGGCACAGTGGCTTTCTGCAACTATAAAAAGTGGCCTTCGCGATATATCCAATCGTTCTGAAAGTGACATTGAACACTAAAAACCAATCATTCAATCGATCAAAATAACTAACTTCTGGATTTTTTTTAACAACCTAAACGGGCTCCAAAGTTTCCATAAACAGGGCAGTGAACCCTATTTGGATTCTAAAAGAAGTCCGTCGATATTTTTTAATTATTGAATTTCTAAAGAGCATTTACTTCTCCGCCTTTTACACAAGAACGCTTCTGTGAATCTAAATCCATAGACAGATTGAAATAACTATCCAATCTGTTGTTCAGTAGTTGCCGTTTGTTGATGTGGTTCATAAGTGTTTCTCGTTTCCCGTTTTTTATATAGATTAGACCGTTGGTTTTCCCGTTTGAATGGTTTTACACTAGTAATTTTTGGAGCCCTTTATAGCTTGTTGTTCGGTGTGAGCCAAGGCTCCGTGTTGAAGACCGTACTTTGACCTATAATGGTTTACTTTTATAAATTTTGACTTGGATGTAGAGTTGTCTCATTGGTACTCATACCACATCTTCTTATATCTATTTATATCATGAAAAAGAATGGCCAACATTAATACGAATATTGTGTTTAAGAAGGGCTTGTGATCATACTTAGAGAAAACAAATATGATTATATAAAAAATATATACTATTTGGAAGTAAGGATGTCCATCTAACAGCCAGACATTCGGCATTCCTTTTGGAGGTATGAAGGTGTTCATCAAACAGTCACTGAGACATTCGTCATTCCTTTTGGAGGTGTGAAGGTGTTCATCCAACTGTCAGACATTCGTCATTCCTTTTGGAGGTGTGAAGGTGTTCATCCATTTTTGGATTTAACTCTTTAATGTGATCCCAAAGTTCTTTACTATTTTTGGAACTAGATATAGCGTTTTGATAATATTCCTTTTTTGCATTAAATATGTTTATTTATTTACTCCGCCGAAACATTACTCTGCGTCCACACTTGTTTTTTTTTCAACTGAAAAATGTTTAATCCCTGTTTTAAGACGAATAAATTTGCCGGAAGGAAAAGATGATTAAGTAGTCTTAAAATATTCATGTATGATATTATCCCAATAATCTCCTGACATAACTGCGGTATGTCATTACAGGTAAGTGCTATATGATCACTCGTTATGAGCCTCAAGTAATCAATTCTCATTCACACAACAAGTGCGTGGGAGGTTGACTAGATGCGCGCGCGTAACATCTTCATGCGAAAAGTACCGGGTGATAGAATGCAACAAGTTCAGTGTCAACAAAATGGAATTTATACAATACAAACTTTAATATTTCATGATGAGGTGTTAATTTATATGATTAAGGTAAGTGATTGAAATTTAGCTGTGAATTCCTCAAGAAGACAGACTGATTTTGTGTATTGCATCGTGGTTTTGTGTAATACTTTATGGCTGAGTGACCTTGTTAAACAAAGATTGTTTACATATGAAGCCACGTACCATGACGATTATAAATCATCTCCAGCGAAATAAATGTCCGTAAGTTTATCCAAAAAACGTACATTACAAGGTGATAAAAATGTTGATAGTAGAATTATCATTATTTGATTGCAAAACGTTAATTAGTACAACAATATAAATTAGAGTGAGATAACTGGTTGCTTGCAGTATTGCGGGGGTGTAGTTGAGGGATAAATAAGAAACATCTGGCGAATATTAAACTGACTAACAAAATCTTAACAAAAATTGCTTCAAGCTTATACAAATATATATTTGTTTTTTTGGTGTGCAGTAAATATACATTGTGTAGTTATAATAAATTTGTTTATTTATTTTAGTCCTAGCTGGGACATAATGGTACACTTTTCTAAGGTCCTACATGTAGGTCAAGGGAATGACATTCTGATTACAAACAAATCTTTTTTTAAGTAATATTCTCATTTATTATGACATAGCACACTGAAAATCCATGTTTTTTCTTTAGAACATGGTTTGTATATAGTAGAACTCAGAATAGATTGGACTTGTTGAATACTTACTTGCATCCTTGTACATGTGTATATATGTGTGTACATGTATAATTACTTAAATTAAACAGGATGGTCATAATCTTTATATGAATAAAGTCATAATAGATTTTATTTGAATAAATCTGGTAATAAAATCATACACCAAAACTGATCTATATAATTTTTTTCAAACCTGATGATTAGCTTAACTCACATATAATGCTGTATACTTGAAGAGCATGTATGTAAGGAAGTCAATGTATATTCCACTTTATTTTCTCCTCATTTGAATTTCTTGAATTGACTTTAGCAGGAATCACTAAAGGCTATTTCAGATTGGTACTCCTCCACCCTAGCTTGGAATTAAAGCAAAACCTGAATTCTGAGATAATATATTTTCGAAAAACTGAATCAGTGTAATTTTGAAAGAGAGTTATATTTTATTTTTATTGAAATTTTGATATTTAAGATTATTGCAAAGATAAAAACATATTTTATTTCTATATAGTTTAGTTCTGATTCTAGATACCGGGAGATTTTGATTTTCAGTCTCTACATACAATGTAGTTATCTTCATGATACTTCATGTGTTTGTCAACAATGTTAATTGGGTTTATTTTTTAATATATTTAAAGCTTCTTTATCAGCCCTTTCTTGTTTGGATTATATAAGAAGGCAGCCTGGCTTTTGGATTATAGATTGATTAATAATTTTCCAAAATTACACTGTAATTAGATAAATTAATCATATTTAATGGTTCTCATAAAATGTATGTCACCATTTAGGCAATCAATATCTTATACATTTTGTATTTAATATAAGAAATTGAAAAAAAGAAGAAAACAAGATAGTAAATTTAATCTTTACAAAGTTTGTACAGTTACTATTGTTGTGATCAAGGCTCCAAGTCTCAATACAAGTCAAGTGAAATAAATCACAATTTTACACCCAACATATTCTACTTAGATTTTTACATCACGATGACCGTGAGGGCCTTTCCTAGTATTGTTACCGCAGAGATTCTACTTGCGTAACTTTCATTTTTGACTAGTAACCAATCTATAAATATGCGGACATTATCGAGTGCTAAATAATATTCCTTCTCGCTTGTTATAAATACATTTCTTCAATGAATACTCCCATTTCCATTTTCAATTTTATCATAAAAATATTTTTTTTAGAACATAAATAAATAATATGAATATGTTTTGTCGTTAGAAATATATATATAAGTAAAAAAATCATTAATATCTATGCACATGTACAGAAAAATTATGTGAACGCATGCGGAAGAATAATTGAAGAACGTTTTGCGGGAAAATATGAATGCCTTCTCAAATCCAATCTATTAGAAAAATCAAATTATTACAGAACAGTGTCCACCATGCACTTGCACTGCACTATTATTAGAATAGTAGAATAGAATGATATACAAATGGATAAAAATTATATATACATATAACTGTTATATACAAATATTAATATAATATATAACAGCAAACCATGCAGAGTATACTGATTTGAATCACTATAATATAATAATTATTAGGGTGAGGTTGAATTCCCTGTCATTTATTCATCATCCAGGCACGAACTTGTCTCAGAAAAAAATATATCTCTGTACATTAACCTCACTTTCAGGTATAGAGATGTGAATTTTTTTCTGAGACAAGTGCAAGAACTTACGGTCATCCGATGTTCAGAACTTCAGTACTTTGATTACCTCACCTTAAAGGGGCATTAGCTGTCAAATTCATTTTTGCCAATTTGACTCAAACTCTCATATTTGATTTAAAACATACTAAAACGTATAAGTATATTCAAATAACAAAAAGTCTAAAACAAACAATGCATGGACTCTATAATATGTATCAACATTTCGTGTATGTTTTTGTCGAGACGTCATCTAATTAACCATCGAGATGACCTCCGAAAACTGCTGACTGTCATATATCCATATATTACATAAATATAAATATAAGTAGATAGAAACCAGGTACAATTGGACTTTTCTAGATCTATTTGATTTCATATTGTAGGCTAAAAAATATGTTTATCATAGTTTTTTCCTTTACAAGAATGATATTTTGTGGATCGAATCAGTCAACCAAATGGTTCATCCTTGTTTCACTTTCAATGTTGACATTATTTCTTTTTAATAGCTGAATACTTGCGTAACCCATCTCCAGCTAAGGGGTTAAATTGAAGGTCACATGAATACAGATTCAATGAGGTCGAATTATTCACTTGCAAGTGAATAATTCATCAGCAATGTTTCTTAGCTTATTTTGACAAAATTTAACCAAATTGGCTGCTAAGTGTGAATTATTATTTCACTATTTTACTTTAATTAATGATTGACCAAAAAAGAAATTATATTTTAATTTTTCTATATCTCGTAGCTAATGCCCCTTTAACAAAGTGGTAGAAAGCGGGACTGAGGTGTGTTGTTACCAGCATAAATGTAAACAATTTATAAGTATATCATAAGGTCAATGGAACCACTAGTGGTACTAAGGTCACTGATATTTGGTATGTAGTTGTATTAGCATTAACACACCTCATTTTGTTATTATTTAACTCCGCCCTCTCAGTCATGGTCTATTGACTTTGAAACTTTAGCAAAGTTCAGGTGTTTAAGTCTGTGATTACATGTAGGTCAGTATAAGAACCATGGTAAGTCAATGAAATTTGGTGTATGCAGTTGTATTAGTATTTGTAGGTCTCTATATATTGGCACCCTCAGTCATATTTCATCAACTTAGAAACTTTTGCATAGTTTGCATGTTTAAGTTTGTGCTTAGGTTTTTGGTATGCAGTTGTATTAGCATTGGCATTTCTCATTTCCACTAGGATATTTTGGTTTCACCCATCAGTCATGGTTCTTTGACTTTGAATGTTTTGTATACATGTAGTTTACAATGTATGTATGACCGTTTTAATTTCAAATTTTGCATTACACTATCAAAATTACATACAGGCGAGACATGCGTGTATCTCTACATGTATGTCAACAGTTTATTAACACGGTCACTTGAGGGAAGAACTGAATCCTCAATTTTTCAGAACTTTTGTATTTGTGCATTGGCCTGAAGAAAAAAGACCTTTAGGTGATTCAAAACTATTTACCTTTTACTTGTCAAAATTTACATTTACTTCTGATGTTTTTTTAATGTGTACAATCATACAAATATATATCTACATGTAATAAGATACAATGTACATTGAATAAATGGTTGTGTACATTTTTGATATAAATTCAGTGAATTAAGTTTTCTGACTAAGACTTGCATGAATTAAAAGCTATTTAAATCTTTCTATTTTCTCTAACATGTGTAAGTTTTTTTAAAATTCTTAATGAACATAACTGGGTGCAAGGGGCCGTCTTAAACTTGCAGTGAGTTGAGAGTTTTTCTGTTGCTTCGTGTTGAAGGCCTCAATGTCATGATTGACTTTGAGATGAAGAACAGAAGTAAAAGCATTGTTCCTTTGCTTTTTGTGTGTTTTTTTGCTGTGCATGTACTGATTTTGTGTCACAGATAGATAACCCGTATCCTTTGTTTTTCTATTTTAAAGCTCATAAAAGCTCATAAAAAATTAAAACAGCAGGTTTTGTGTCTAAATGGACCAGTAGTATCTTTTCATTTAAAAAAAAAACCAATTGCAATGGAAATCATTGACTTTAAGTAAATTTAGATCATAAATCATGTATTTGTTTAATAATTGAAATCTAAAGTTAGGGGCGACTCTCGAAATTGCTGTAATTTTAGCCAGCAAACTTTGACATAGTTATTTTTAATTCACCTTGACCAACAGGTCCATTGGAGCTTTTGCCATCACTTTGCACATCTATCCTCTGTTCTTGTTCCGCTCAGCTTTAAAAATGTTATCATAGTTCTCGGGGTAGTTATCATCTTTTTAAAAAAATCGTCTTTTATGAAACTACTGGGTGGAACTGTACCTAACTGTACTTGTCTGTTCCTTTAGGCATTTAGTTTTTAAATTTTTTCCATCATCAAACATGGCTGCTGTTGCTAAAAATAGAACCGATGGTTAACAAAGATTTTTGGTTTATATCTCAAAAATTATAAGAGAGTTAAAACTGTCACCTCTAAAGATTCCATTATCTACTATACCCCTGGTTTTTGGTGAGGTTCATATGCATGTTGCTCAGTCTTTTAGTTTTCTATGTTGTGTTTTGTTGACCATGTAGACAGTTGTATGTGTTTTGGTTGTTTTTTAGTTTTTTGCCATGGCATTGTCAGATTGGCCTTGACAAATTAATGAGTTTGACTATCCCTTTGGTATCTACAACCATTCTACTACTAATGTGTTTATTTATTTGGAATTGTAAAT